AATAGCTGGTGACGTATAAGTTGCACAAAAATCTGGTCTATACCGGAAAAACAATCCGCAACGATTCAATCCATGGTAGCTCGACGTTCAATCGAATCTGTCGGTCAAATTGCGTTTAGATTATCACAGAGAGATATAAAAATTCGTAAAACCACATCAAGAAGAAGATTTAAAGAGACTGATGTACATTTAATGAAACCGACTTCAAAACCGTTGCTAACAAGTGACGATGTTTTATAAAAGACTTCAGCAGGATATAAAACTCAAAGACTAATCCAAGTGAAAATGTCTGGGCATTAATGAAGCTCAGAATAAACAAAGAACCGTATATATCGATCAATGATTTCATTGAAAGAATAAAACAAAGAATGGAGAAACTTAACTAATGAATTTGCTGAAAATTAGGCGCTTCTATGGAAAATAGAGTAGCATTGTTAATTGAAGGAAAAAGAGATTATATTAATTATGAAGATGATGCACATATAATATAGATTTCATAAATAAAATATAAACAAATAACTCCTTTGTTTTGCTCATTTTTTCAATCACAGCCACTTATGGCGAGTACTGTAGCCAACATGAAATTTTCAACTTAAAATATTGAGTCATTAATTTTTTATGACTCATTCAATACGAGCGAAAATTCCCATGTTAGGCAACTTTAGTGTTTCATAACTTGTGATAAGAATAAAATAAAGGTCTGAAATTGTTACTGGAGTTAGTGTTCATAGTGATATATGTCTACTATAAATTTCAGCTCCACACAATCTTTTTTTCGACTAGTAGGACTCTCTTTCAATTGAGTTTTTGATGAAAATTGTGATTTTCAGGTGAGGTTTTCTTCCAAGAAACCTAACAGTTTGAAAGTTGAGCTTAAAAAGTTCGAAGAGCTATCTATGACGTACAACTTCAAAGAAAAATCGAATTGATTCCATTTTACTTTTATGCTTATACACCTTTTAAATCTGTAAGAATATTTTAGTTCTTTTAGGACGTGCGTGTGGATTTAAATCTTCTCTAAATCCATACCCGCACTTACACCCTCTTATGCAAGTTTTCTACTCTTAAAAAAAAAAGCTGATGGACTAGTAAAAATTACTTTTGAAGATTCATCAAATTGATTCATGTTTGGAACCGACTGGTGGACACTCTTGACTTAACCAGCAAAATATTAATATGTTTCATATAGCAATTAGTCAATCCATTCTATGAAGACATACAATGTAAAACTCATATAACTCTCAGAGTTTCTAATAGGAACAACTCCTATTTTATTCTATCATGTTTAGAGCATGTAGGGTTTACTTAGGTCCAACTCTGAAATTTTTCTGTTAACTGAGTCCAGACCAAAACATTTTGCTCTCGACGGGCTGTAATCATGTTTCATTTATGCTAACATGAGGAACGAACGAAAACCTTTTTCAAAATGTGTCACCTAGTCACTCACAGCAACTAACATCTAATATACTACGTATTGACCAACTGTTTTTAAATAATGATAGTATTTGTTTACAAATGATAAGTTTGATCTATTCTTATTTGTAATAATTACCTAACACAGCTGAAAAGAAATCTCCATTATATTAGATTTTTTATTATAAGATTTACATTTTGTAATGAAATCATGAGCTGAAAACTACTAGCTGTTGAAATTTCTTGAGAATCGGTTAATGATAGTCCAGAAAAGTGAGCTTAAAATTTCAGAATGAAAAATGTTTAGTTAGACTGACATTAACCTTTAATGTCTGACTATAAATTCGTGAACGTGATAAATTCATTCAGTATGATTTGAGGTTTTTCACAATGAGAAGAAATTCGTCAGTTCGAGACTTTTACCTTGATGATTAAAAACATTAAAATCCTTAAAAAACGAACAAAGTAAACCAGTTTTTACTGGCCTTAAAAATCAATAAAACAAAGTAACTAGTTTTGCTTCAAGTATGAATAGATCCAAAACCTTGAATTTAATTATTAGTGTATATATTTCTAATTCATTAATATTGTTATCTATAGTTGATGCAATATTCTCTATCTAAAGGATAACATCACTGATATTCTTAATGATTTGAGATGAATATTTTATTCAGAAAGTTAATCGTACTATAGTATAATGATGGTATCATTTTCTAATATGGAACAAAATGAGTAGTCCTATAATGATTCTTATTGCTATTAATGATTACTATTTCACTTCAGAGTAAAGCATCCTATTCTGATTGCTGTTATTGCACTCTTAATTAGTCACGTGTAAGTACTTGGCATAAAAGTAAACAAGAAAAACAAAATAATACATCTTATTACAATATTCAACATTTGAACCATTGATTATAAATATTTATATAATGGATGTCCCAAAATTTTCCAAACAATTTACTTTTCTAGCATTGCTAGTATTCATTGTATTTATGATTGCTTATTATGCTGAAAATAATCATATTTCTATTAATTTAATATCAAATATAAATAATACAATTGAACAAGCCCTTAGAGAAATGCCAATCTGTAGTTCAAGAGATCGTCGTCGTCAACGAATTCTACTTTCAATTCTTCATGCATGGACTCAATTTGCTGATACACATAATATTCAATATTGGATAGCTTATGGAACACTTGTAGGTTATGTACAACGTCGAGGTTTATTACCATATGATTCTGATACTGATGTATTAATATTAGCACAAGACACACAATATCTTGTTCCATTTACTAATGTTAATTTTTCATCAATCTATGAAATTAAAGTTCATCCACAATGGTCTTTTGCTAGATATAAAAATCGTTCTTATTTTCGAGCACAAGGTATCAATTTTGTAGCACCTAATGCTCGATTTAAACATCGAACACTTCATTATCATGTTGATATTTGGCCTATTTATGATTATCATCCTGATCAATCAAGAAATACAACAAAAACTATAAAAACTCTTACAGAATATAGTAAATATTATACATGGATATCGTCACCAATCGAATGGACATTTCCATTAAAACCATGCATTTTTAGTGGTATCAAAGTATGGTGTCCTGCAATGCCTGAAAAATTAGTAACAATGCAATATGGGGCTACAGCTGTAAACAAAACAGATACAAAATGTGTTAATGGTACTTGGATTTAAATAAAAATTCTTTAAAACAAAGCCTATTCGTACAGTTTCTTTCAAATTGAAATGTAGAATCTACATATGTCATATCGACTCACTCGACCAATTAAAGATATTCAAAAGGGACTTTCTTCGGAGTAATCGATTTTTTCAGAAAAACTCAGTTTATATGTATTCTGATAGTTCTTGCAATGGGGCTCAAAATTGGTTTAATTTTTATTGTCAAAGAAAGAAATTTAAGTTTCTGTTCTGATGAGTTTACTCGTGACATCTAAAGAATATAAACTTGTATTGTACGGAAACTTTGACAGGTTTATAGCTTGAAAATTAATTTCATAAAGGATTTTATTGATGTTGAATTGATTTCAGATATTTTGGTTAGGAGCTGTGAGTACAATAAAGGCCTAGCTTATAGAGTCCGGCAGAACAAACTTTTTCGTGTCAGAAATATTGTTGACCTCGTCCCGTAGGATTCTACTCGCCGTCATCCATACGTCATCTCTACGTATGAAGAACTATGGACATAACTTTGACATGATAATGGAAAAATGATATATCTACATACATGCTATATAATAAATTTTAGCGAATAATGCGAAAACATTACGTAATATAAGCGAACTTATTTCAAAATTCGAATTTACCGTTAACACGAACAAACTTTTCTATATAACAATTCATATAAAAGTAGTCATTTTTTTATTATACAATAGACAGTTCGAGCTACGTCATCATAGAGCCTGGAGTTTTAATTTTCTCTTTTGTTGAAATGAAAGATTTAGATCCTTAATTTTAATTAGCGATTTTTTTCTGGCCACGAATTTGAGCATTTTATGAAAAAGCTTTTGTAAGCTCTATTACGGCTGAAGTAACGGATAATTTTAACCAATACATTGACTATCACTCGTGAGTATCTCAGAGTTTTGAGGGAGATATTTCACCCATAATCCATTCTAGTCAAAACTAACATTCTCTAGAATTTTTGATTGAACAATTAAAAAGTTTATTTCTGAGGTAGTCCTCATGAAGTAAAAAACCTTCGGTCGACTATTGTTATTTTCTAAGGATAATGGTTTGTCAAGGAAACAATTTGTCTTATTTTGAATAGAATTTTTTTTCTTTTTTTCTACTGGTGCTCTATTATTTGTTTATCTTGTTGCCATTCTCTTGTTGTTTTCATATTCGATCTTTCTTCATTGAACATTATTAATATTCTAACCATCGATTTAACTTGCAAACAAACTTGTTGTACGAATTCATTGTATCTATAGCAGGTCTCAAGGCACTACTATATATCTTGATAATCTTATAAGCATTGACATTAATTTATACTTTGATCAATTCACACATGATATTTTTATCACATGACGACTGTGGCAAAGCAATGCATCATCCATGACATCTTGAATGTAAATTTTTCTCTGTATAAAAATCAATAACTGCATAATTTAGAACATTCACAAACGTATTTCAACCATTCTAATTTTGAGAAAGACGTTGAAATAATTTAGAACAAACTATACGTTATTGCTAATGCTGGTCAGTTCTTTTTTCATTACTTTTCGAGAAAAGAGTCTGATGCTTGTTGTTCTCGATTGCTAATAAAACATACTCTATGGTTGTTGCCGCTGCTCTCTCCTCTGTCACTATGACTCTGAGCCACAATACCAAAGCTTCACAGAACAAGAATCTAAATAGTTATAAGATTATGAAACAATTTTTATATCATATTTAATAATGACTACTGTTTCTATAATCTACTGATTGTCCTTTTGTCATTGAATGATAATTATTGAAAATGAGATATTTAAAAATACGCTGAATTGTAATGAATGACAAAAAGTAAATATATGTTTGAAAAAGAAATAAAAGTTACGTCACAAGAAAAAAAAAGAAATGTTATTTGTAATTGTCAGTGCTTCCTGCTTGATATTCGACAGCTTTACGTCGTAGTGAAGCAATACTTGAACCACGCCAAATATCATCATTATCATTGGTTATAACATCACTTGTAAATGTTGTAGATGATGGAGGAAATGATAAATTATATGATGAACCTGATGAACATGAATTAAGTGGATCAATATTGATTATTGATGGTAATGCAGTTGAAAAGAGTGAAGTTGGTGGTCCCGGTGGTTGAGGTAAACTAACATAATCAGCCATTGCACTCGATGAATAAAAATGTGGAGCTAATGATTGATCGATCTAAATAAATAAGAAAACAAGTAATCTTCGTAAATTTTATGATCTGTTTTATTTAATTAATTACCGGAGCAAAATTTGCTGATGAAAATGAAAATTGATTGCAATTATTATTATTAATAGGCCATTTGACATAATGATGATCAGTTTGTGATATTGAAGATTGTCCATCAAGGGTTGAATTTATTAAACATCCATATGGATTTAATGATTGAGGATGTTGTGATTGATGATGTTGACGAAAAACATTTGTTGTTTTCTTTCGTTTTTTCCATTTAGCTCGACGATTTTGAAACCAAACCTATTTTAAATTATTACAATAAAAGCATTATCCGATAACAATACAAAAAAAAAGAAGTTTTCAAGTATTAACCTGAACTCGAGATTCTGTTAAACTAATTCGTACAGCTAATTCTTCTCGCATAAAAATATCTGGATAATGTGTCTTATTAAATGATCTTTCCAGTTCATTGAGTTGTGCTGGTGTAAAGCGTGTTCTATGACGTTTTGGTTTGGCTATTGATAATGGTGATGATGAAGAAATAAGTAATTTATTCGATGGTGACGATAGATGAGTATCATCATGAGAAGATGTTGATGAAGTTCTTGTTGTTGTCGGTGGAGAAAAACGATTATTACCATCGATCGATGACAATGAATGACTCGATAGACGAACTCATAAAAAAGAAAAATCATAAGTGAAGTAAAGTATTTCCCACACATATACAAATCTTTGTTTCACCTTAATTAAACTTGATTTCCTTACCTTGTTGTTCTTGTTTTTTATTATCAGATTGATTATTGATACAATCAATGTTTATATTGAACATATTCAAATTAAATTAATAAGACTATTCTTTTTCTTCTAACTCAATTAATTAAATCTGTTTTGTATAAAGAATTAAGTAGCTATGTTTCTCTTATATTTTTCATGTACATAATATATAATATAGAAGAAAAAACAGATAGAGAAAGAGCGAGATAAAAAGAGAGACAGAGAGAGAGAAAATGTTTGTGACAATCAATTGATTTTCTTTTTCCGGGCACCTGCTTCAAATAACCAATCATATTTTTTAACCAATCAATGTCTGATGTGCCTTCAAGCACATCCGTTACATATAGGAAACATACACGCGACAATGTCATTATCAGATTATCATATTCCATAAAACAAAAAAAAAAAAAAGAAATTTATTTATATATATACATATGTATATACCAAATAAATATATTATAGTAGCGTGTTTGAAGCTAGGAATGAATGAATTCATTTTCTCTAATCATGATACACGACGGATGCAACGATAGACAGGAGATGAATTGATGATGCGAAAAAAGAAAATGAATCAACTAATGTATTCATAAGTGAGTGTGGAGAAAATTCAATAAAAAACAATATAAAAAGAAAATTTTAGGCATATTATAAATAGCTTATAGACAATTTTTTAGAATAATGTCAATACTATTGATTTTATGCTATTATATTAATGATTTCAATCAATTGATTTGCACTAATTTTTCTACAGAATGAATAATAATGTCCTGTTTTGAGCATGAAGTTCAATCATCTGGTTAATTATTATCAAGATAAAAACGGATAGAACTCTTTATTTTTATTGTTTTTTTTTTTAATCGTCAATGACAAATCATTCAATTTTTTATAGTTTGTTCTATATACACCATTTAGATAATTGAAGTCAAGCAAATCTATGAATAAAGTGTCTTTACGTAGATTAATAACCGCTTGAGGGCATCTCATTCTTTCTCGAATTTCTCAAGAATGGCTTAGCCAAAAATTTTGAAATTTTCAGGATACATGGATCTTAACTAATAGAGCGAAAGTTATTTTCAGACATTTCGTTCTATGAAATGTAGAAGTCGCAAATGACCTGAAGATTTTTTCCGAGCACAGCTATTAGTGTTTTTTTCTTTGTAACAATTCGGAATAAATTGAGAACATGTTTTTATTTTGTCTAAAGCAAACTTTATAAGATATGCTAAAAATACCAGAACATTATTTTAAGAAAAAAAATATATACACTTCGATTTGTTCGTAGTTTTCATACAAAAAATTACAGCTCAATTGATCGAAGCATCTAGAAGAAAAAGAAGGAAAACTTCAATTTTTCTGTTCAACGATTCATTTTGAAGAAGCGAAAAATGATGAAATGTTCGTTAATTTGATGTTTTCTCTGATTTTTCTAACGTTTGAAGACAAGTTTTGAATCCAAAAATCTATTCCACAGACAACAAAAAAGTTTTGAACCATGGAGCGGGCGAGTGTTCTTAAAATCTTTCCTTCAAAAATCGGTCTTGAGTTAGATGCATTCAGATCACATGAAATGTTCAACCTTATAACATTATGTTTTCAAGAGATACTCATCAAGACGATTCAAAAATAGTTCATTTGACAGCTTGAAAATTCTCTGTGAGTCCTCATTCTACATATGTTTCGTTTATTTTTATTTAAAAGAGTATGACAGATAGCATTTTTCGATAGAGTCCTTCTTTTTTTCGAAATGCTTACTTTTTATGCTTAGAAAAAGAGTGACAAGTTCAATAACTCAAAAGAGGATCGTCTATGTATACAAGTACTTTTTAAATCGTGAAATTTCGATATCTCGAGAGTAAAGGTTCGAAAAACCAAACCATTCTAGACTTTTCTATTATTGACTAGTACTCGTCTAATGGTTATAGTATCGATCGAAAAGAGATTTGATGATATTCGGAGGGCACTGTATCTTCATATACTTTTTCAAACAAGAATAAAACAGTCATTTTCTACAATAAAGATTTTTCGAGGATTGTGATATGGACAAACAGAAAAATGTGAACAATGGAAAAGTTTTCTTTTCTGAAAAACAACATGCCAAATAAAAACAATCATATTATTTGTGCAAGATCCAACATCAAACAATCTTCCCATGTATTTATTTTAATTTCGATAATTGGAACACAAAATCGGCTATTTTGAGGCGGTGCCTTAAGTCGCGATAACGAATATAATGCAATTCATCAATTGCTAATTGATTATATCTTAGTTCCTGTACACATTACTAATTGTAACTTCGTTCTTAGTAAAACATAGCGAATCATTGTATCTATATAGTTAGCGCCACATATATGATGCAAGGAATCAAATGTATTAGTTTAATTGATACGCCAATCGATATATCATCCTTTCTTCTCCCTTTCAAAATTTAGAATACAATCCATTTGTTCGTTATAATCATTCGTTTTGCTTGTTCTTGACGATTAATTGTCAACTATAAATGATGAAATTACGACGACGACCTCTCTCTGTATATAATGCTAGTCCTAGGTCAAATAGTCAGAATTCTGTATCTAATCAACCATTACGTAAACGCCAACGAAAAGCTTCGACACAATCAATAACAGATCATGAAGAAAATGATAGTGAAACAGAAAATCGTTCACCATTCTTTACTTCTGATGGTAAAATTCTATTAATTATAAAATTTCAAAAGAACTTGTTTTTTTTGTTACTAGAATCTGATAATGATGATGATGATCGTAGTAGTGGTATACAAACTCGATCTACAACATATTATAAACGAAATAAAAATGAAAGTAGTGACAATGGTATGTTATTTATCTTGAAAATTTTTGTTCCATTCTTGATATTTTGTTAATCTATATTCAGTTTACATATATTTTTGATGTCATTATTTTGTATAAAGTTGGAAATCCATTTACTGTAGATTAGTTTTTAGAAAAATGATCTTCTATAAGAGATGATATATGTATGTTCAGAAATTCAGTAAAGGTAACTATTATTGGAATGAAATCAGGTTTTTCATTTATCAGAATAGTTAGTCTTCATGGTAATTTTTATTATATGAAATTATTTTATAAATTTATATCGAAAATAAGATCGCTTGAACAAAAAAAAACTACTTTTCATGTTAATCACTACGGATTGGGTAAAAAACGCATCAAGATATCATGAAAAATGCTACTATGCAAATCGATTATCCTTATTATGGTATATATCAGCTTCCCAAACATCACTGTAATTGTTCTATGTAACCAGATAAAATAAAAAAAAAATATTGTTTCATTTTCTTTTTGACAAAACATCGTTTTCCAATTCATATATCCTAACCAGGAAATACTAAAAAGATGTTTAATTGTTTTGATTTTGTAATTTATCAAATGCTCTGCATCAATTTTATGGAACCGTTTTGATCTAATGCTTTATTATTTGTACTGATCACACCTAATGAAGAAGTTTCTCTCGGTATCAAATCACTTTCCGACTGAGATGATGTTCATTTTACGAGTGTTAGAGAGTAATGGAAAAGCCTATAATGATTTGATATTCGGAGACCTCATTCTTGAAATATCGAAGTTTTACTGAGTTTTTCGTCCGCTCCGGTTATATGGCAAATCAACTTTCGACTTCAAACTTTGCACGAGTAAAGCTCTCAATGAGATTAGTTCAATGGGCATGTTCTAACACTTCTAATATCTCATATATTGAACTATTTAATATTCGAAACTCAATCATCTCTCAAAGTGAATTCACATTTCTAGAAAGAAAACAACAAACAAACTAAAACCTGCACAATCAACTAATCCTACTACGAAATTTGTTTATGCCAAGTGCAAAGTCTAAACTCGAAAGTTGATTTTCCAGGTGACATGAGGAAGACTAGAGCTTTTTGTTAAAAATCGAAACCATTCTGTTAATCAATAAATGAACATTGTATGGGTCAACAAGCGATTTGACATCTGAAATGATTCACCCGGAAGACAATTATATTTTATATAGATATTTGAATATTTATTAAGAATTCATTAACCATCAGTTAGTCACCACTTGTGATTTTTTATTTGAAAATGAACTTTAAATTATATTAACTGATTATTTCGAATGTATGGATAGTGAAAAAAAGAGAAAAGCAGGAAAATAGGAATAGTTTCGTGAAATGGCAAATTTAGAAGGAGTGGAAGCGTTGTGAAGATCATCTCTTCATTCGAGACAACTTTTCAATTGTTGTTTAGCAGAAAATGCTTAAATATGAATTTGATACGGTCTTTCACGAACCTCAAAACACGTTTTCTGGGTGTAGACAAATACTTCTGTCGATAAAGAATCGATAGAACATTTTTCTAAAACTCATTCTTGGATTGTCATCAATATTTGCGTTTGAATGATAATTGTTCGATTTAACATTTAGAATCAGAAGAAGAAGAAGAAAACAACGATGACGAAACAAATGAATCTCAATCTAATGAAGACGAGGAGGAAGAAGACCCAGTTGTTAAACAGTCAATCACAAGAATGGTCACTCGTCAAATGTCACTTATTATGAATAATCAAATGAAACCTAAACCAAATGTTAAAGTCCAACCATTTGTTGATCATACTGAAGATACATTAAGGTTAGGAAAAGAAAAATTCTATAAAATTGATTTTTATATTTAAAATTGTTTTTTTTCTCTTACAGTGAACATGGAGATAATCAACCATGTACACGTCTTCGTTCAAAACGTTTAAATAATGATCAAAGTAAAATAGATAATGGTGCACAATTTTTTATTCGAATAACTCCTATTGATGATGATGATACATCACAACCAGCAGCTTTTTCTTCCATAAAAAAAGAAACATTTTGTTATTATACAACACCTGAACGTCCAGATGAAGCTGATATTGATTACGAACAATTAGTTAATCGTACACGTATTAAACCAGCATCTATGGATCAATGTAATCAAGGACAATTATTACCTGATGAAAGTATTGATAATGGAAATAATACACGACCAACTGAGCTTATACCATATTTACTTCAACTTGAAC